AAAAATCCAGAATTTCCCAAGAAATCTGAAAGCTCCTCAAGACCCAAGAGGTCCCAAAAACTCAGGAGCTCCTGCAGATCCAGGAGTTCCCACAAACCCAGCAATTCCCTCCCTGTCAGGAGCACCAGCAGCTTCTCTGGCTGTTTTGGGGGATTTCTCCTGGCTTGATTTTGAGGTCTGTGGTGGTTAGAGAGAAACAAAAGCAGCTTCCAGCTCCCAGCACAGGGCTGGGGGAGTAGGAGAACTCCAGGAAAATAAAAAGCCCAAGGGCTCTCAAAAATTCCGAATTTCCCAAGAAATCTGAAAGCTCCTCAAGACCCAAGAGGTCCCAAAAACTCAGGAGCTCCCACAGACCCAGCAATTCCACAAACCCAGAGTTGCCAAAGACCCAGAACTCTGATAACCCCAAGAGCTCACACAAACCCAGCAGCTCCCACAAATCCCTGAGCTGGGGGATCCTTGATCCCATATTGGGGGTCCTTGATCCCATATTGGGGGTCCTTGATCCCATATTGGGGGTCCTTGATCCCATATTGGGGGTCCTTGATCCCATATTTTGGATCCCTGATCCCACATTGGGGCTCTGCTTCCAAGGAACAAGGGACAGGACAAGAGGGAAGAGCCTCAAGCTTTGTCAGGGGAGGTTCAGGAATTTCTGAATTCATCAGGAGGGATTTCTGAATTCATCAGGAATTTCTGAATTCAGAGATTTCTGAGCTCATTAGGGATTTCTGAATTCATCAGGAGGATTTCTGAATTCATCAGGGGAATTTCTGAATTCATCAGGAGGAATTTCTGAGCTCATCAGGAATTTCTGAATTCAGAGATTTCTGATTTCATCAGGAGGAATTTCTGAATTCATCAGAAGGAATTTCTGAGCTCACCAGGGATTTCTGAATTCAGAGATTTCTGAATTCATCAGGAATTTCTGAATTCAGGGATTTCTGAGCTCATCAGGAATTTCTGAATTCATCAGGGGAATTTCTGAATTCACCAGGAATTTCTGAATTCCTCAGGAGGAATTTCTGAATTCATCAGGAATTTCTGAGCTCACCAGGGATTTCTGAATTCAGGGATTTCTGAGCTCATCAGGGATTTCTGAGCTCATCAGGGATTTCTGAGCTCATCAGGAGGAATTTTCCATACAGAACAAGCTCAGACATTGTTTCTCCCACACGAACTGGCTGATCCACGGCAGGGGAGCACCAACGGACGGGGAGAGAGAATTCTGAATTTATCAGGGATTTCTGAATTCATCAGGAGGAATTTCTGAGCTCATTAGGGATTTCTGAATTCAGAGATTTCTGAATTCATCAGGGATTTCTGAATTCATCAGGGGGAATTTCTGACATCATTAGGGGAATTTCTGAATTCATCAGGGAGAATTTCTGAGCTCATCAGGGATTTCTGAATTCAGAGATTTCTGAGCTCATCAGGAATTTCTGAATTCATCAGGGATTTCTGAATTCATCAGGGATTTCTGAATTCCTCAGGAGGAATTTCTGAGCTCATTAGGGATTTCTGAATTCATCAGGAATTTCTGAATTAATCAGGAGGAATTTCTGAATTCATCAGGAGGATTTCTGAGTTCATCAGGGATTTCTGAATTCAGAGATTTCTGAGCTCATCAGGAATTTCTGAATTCATCAGGAGGATTTCTGAGTTCATCAGGAATTTCTGAATTCAGAGATTTCTGATTTCATCAGGGATTTCTGAATTCATTAGGAATTTCTGAGCTTACCAGGGATTTCTGAATTCAGGGATTTCTGAGCTCATCAGGAGGAATTTTCCATACAGAACAAGCTCAGACATTGTTGCTCCCACACGAACTGGCTGCTCCACGGCAGGGGAGCACCAACACACAGGGAGACATTTCCTGTGGGCTCCTGCTTGAAACCAACGGCTACAGCAAACCGAGGGCCTTGATTCAGGGCCAGGGAGGGAGAAAATAGGCACAACCAGGGGGAAAACTGCTGGAAAAGCCACAGGGAGAGGCTGGGATCGAAGGATACGTGTGAGGCAGTGCCTGGTCAGCGGCAGGGAGGGGTTGGAGCATCTGACATCGTCCACAAAGGCCAAGCAGCGCTGGCTGGAGCGGGTGGTGTGAGCCTGAAACCGTGCAAGGGTTTGGGTTGGGACAGATCCTAAAGCTGCTTTTCCCACAGCAAGGACATTTTTAAGTCATTTCCAAGCTGGTCTTGAGCATCTGAGGGATGGGGCAGCCAGAGCTGGGGGATGGGGCAGCCAGAGCTGGTCTGGGAAATGCATTGCAGGGCGTCCCCACCCTCACAGGGAGGGATTTGTTCCCAATATCCCATCTAAACCTCTCATGTCTTAGTTTCAAACCATTTCCTCTTGTCCTGTCGCTGGATGTCTATTTAAAACTCCCACTCTTTTTTTTTTTTAAGCCTCTTTTAGGCATTGGAATGGACTCACTCAGAGCCAGGAGCTCCCAAAAACCTGAGAGCCTCGACAAACAAACCCATGAGCTCCTAAAAATCCTCAAACCTCCCAATACCCTGAGCCCCCTTTTCTCCAGGATGAGCTCCTTCATCTCCTCAGGAGTTTTCCAGACCTTTCTTGGCCTCCAGTCTCTTTCCCTTCTCTGGATTTGACCCTCCCTGTCTGTCTCGCTGTGAGGAGCCCAAAGCTGAGCCCAGCGTTCAAGGCTGGACACCAAGAGCTCCCACAGACCTGAGGGCTCCTGCACACACAGGAGCTACCACAGATCCAGAGGCTCCCACAAACCTCAACAGCCCCAGGAGCTTCTCCAAACCCAGCAGGAGAGCTGTCCTTGCAGGAAGGACAGGAGCTACCACAGATCCTGGGGGAAAGCTCCTACAAACCCAGGAGCTCCCTCAACAATCCCAAAAGCTTCTCCAAACCTGAGAGCTCCCTCAACAACCCCAGGAGTTCCTACAACATCCCCAGGAGCTCCTACAGCAACCCCAGCTGCTTCTCCAAACCCAGGACCACCCTTAACAACTCCAGCTGCTTCTCCAAACCTGAGAGCTCCTGTAATAACCCCAGGACCTCCCTTAACCACCCCAGGAGCTTCTACAACCCCAGAAGCTCCTACAAACCCAAGAGCTCCCACAACATCCCCAGGAGCTCCCACAACAACCCCAGGTGCTTCTCCAAACCCAACAGCTCCTACAACAACCCCAGGAGCTTCTCCAAACCCAGGACCTCCCTTAACAATCCCAGGTGCTTCTCCAAACCCAACAGCTCCCACAATATCCCCAGGAGCTCCTACAAACCCAGGAGCTTCTCCAAACCCCAGGAGCTCCTGCAACAACCCCAGGAACTCACAACAACTCCAGGAGCTCCTACAAATCCAGAAGCTCCCACAACGACCCCAGGAGTTCCTACAACAACCCCAGGAGCTTCTCCAAACCCAGCAGGGTTGGCAGCCAGAGCTGTCCTTGCAGGAAGGACAGGAGCTACCACAGATCCAGAAGGTCCTACAAACCCAGGAGTTCCTACAACATCCCCAGAAGCTTGTCCAAACCCAGGACCACCCTTAACAACCCCAGCTGCTTCTCCAAACCTGAGAGCTCCTGTAATAACCCTGGACCTCCCTTAACCACCCCAGGTGCTTCTACAAACCCAGAAGCTCCCACAACATCCCCAGGAGCTCCTACAACAACCCCAGGAGCTTCTCCAAACCCAACAGATCCTACAACAACCCCAAGAGCTCCCACAACATCCCCGGAGCTCCTACAAACCCAAGAGCTCCTACAACAACCCCAGGAGCTTCTCCAAACCCAGGACCTCCCTTACCAATCCCAGGTGCTTCTCCAAACCCAACAGCTCCCACAACAACCCCAGGAGCTTGTCCAAACCGAGGAGCTCCAACAACAACCCCAGGAGCTCCCATAAACCCAGAAGCTCCTACAAACCCAGGAGCTTCTCCAAACCTGAGAGCTCCCACAACAACCCCAAAAGCTTCTCCAACCCCAGAACTTCCCTTAACAACCCCAGGAGCTTCTCCAAACCCAGGAGCTCCCTCAACATCCCCAGGAGCTCCTACAAACCCAACAGATCCTACAACAACCCCAAAAGCTTCTCCAACCCCAGAACCTCCCTTAACAACCCCAGGAGCTTCTCCAAACCCAGGTGCTCCCTTAACAACCCCAGGAGCTCCCAAAACATCCCCAGGAGCTCCTACAAACTCAGGAGCTCCTACAACAACCCCAGGAGTTCCTAGAACAACCCCAAGAGCTTCTCCAAACCCGAGAGCTCCCACAACAACCCCAGGAGCTCCTACAAATCCAGAAGTTCCTACAACAACCCCAGGAGCTTCTCCAAACCCAGGACCTCCCTTACCAATCCCAGGAGCTTCTCCAAACCCAACAGCTCCTGCAACAACTCCAGGAGCTTTTCCAAACCCAGGAGCTCCTACAAACCCAGGAGCTCCTACAACAACCCCAAAAGCTTCTCCAAACCCCAAGAGCTCCCACAACATCCCCAGGAGCTCCCACAACAACCCCAGGAGCTCCTGCAAATCCAGAAGTTCCTGCAACAACCCCAGGAGTTCCTACAACAACCCCAGGTGCTTTTCCAAACCCAACAGCTCCCACAACAACCCCAGGAGCTTTCCCAAACGCAGGAGCTCCAACAAGAACCCCAAAAGCTTTTCCAAACCCAGGAGCTCCTACAAACCCAGGAGCTCCCACAACAACCCCAGGAGCTCCCACAACAACCCCAGGAGCTTCTCCAAACCCAGGACCTCCCTTAACAACCCCAGGAGCTTCTCCAAACCCAACAGATCCTACAACAACCCCAGGAACTGTCACAACAACTCCAGGAGCTCCTACAAACCCAAGAGCTCCCACAATATCCCCAGGAGCTTCCCCAAACCCGAGAGCTCCCACAATATCCCCAGGAGCTCCTACAAACCCAGGAGCTTCTCCAAACCCCAGGAGCTCCCACAACAACCCCAGGAGCTCCCACAACAACCCCAGGAGCTTCTCCAAACCCAACAGCTCCTGCAACAAACCCAGGAGCTCCTACAACAATCCCAGGTACTTCTCCAAACCCAAGAGCTCCTACAACAACCCCAAGAGTTCCTACAAACCCAAGAGCTCCTACAAACCCAACAGCTCCCTCAACAACCCCAGGAGCTCCTCCAAACCCGAGAGCTCCCACAACCCCAAAAGCCTCTCCAAACCCAGGTGCTCCCTCAACAACCCCAGGAGCTCCTACAACATCCCCAGGGGCTTCTCCAAACCCAACAGATCCTACAACAACCCCAGGAACTGTCACAACAACTCCAGGAGCTCCTACAAATCCAGAAGCTCCCACAACGATTCCAGGAGCTCCTACAACAACCCCAGGAGCTCCTACAAACCCAGCAGGGTGGCAGCTAGAGCTGTCCTTGCAGGAAGGACAGGAGCTACCACAGATCCAGAAGGTCCTACAAACCCAGGAGTTCCTACAGCAACCTCAGGAGCTTCTCCAAACCCAGAACCTCCCTTACCAACCCCAGGAGCTTCTCCAACCCCCGCAGGGCAGCACCCTGGCAGGAAGGCCGTTCCATGGGGC